GTTATTTTGTTATATTTCTCTTACCATATGTAACCATGTCCTGATTCAATGCCAATAGCTTGAAATGAGTGTAGCACACAATACCTTTTCGTCTGAGGTACTTTTTACTTTCAATTTTTACTTTCAATTTTTTATCCCAAGCGTTAAAACAATTAATATCAGCATATCATCATCATTATATAAATGATTTTTAACTTGAAAGTTGGGGCTGCTTCCTTAAATGGATTGCTTCCGTGCAGAAAACTGTGTGTGCAATCTCTGACCTCTGACAGAAGTGGTAAAGTGGAGAAAAAGTAAAAGGGTAACACACACATATACAAAATAACTTTACAAGAAAGAATGTCTGGAAGTCATAAAAATACGTATGGTTTAAACAAGCTCTATAAAGGACCTACAATCTCAGAAACATCAAATAACAGAAAAATAAAAACCATTCTGATTAGTTAAAACTGCCTCTGCATCTTTTGTGAGTCTGAAGTGAAATTTTCACCATAAGACTGTGCTGTGACATGACAAATATTTTTATTGTTGCAATATTTTTTCTAATACCTCTGAAAAAATAGTCAAAACGCACTGAGATATTTAACCACAAACAAAATTTCTATCTCCTAGAACATGTGGCGAATGTCCATGTGTTTATTTGCCATGCAGGGTACTTATGAATGAGTAAAGGAAGCATATATAATTTGCCTTACTTTAAACCCAAACCACTTTAGGGACCAGCCCAGAAAGAAATTATACCCATGTGTCATTATTTATCCTGGCCCTAGTACATTTGAGGCTTGCATGAAGGTGGTAATCGGTACTGGTACAAGTCACAGAGAAAATGGATGAAATCACACCCATAATGAACCATAAATTATGGAGGGAAGTTCAGACTTTACTCTCAAGTCTGAACTTCCCTCCATAACTAAGTCAGTGGAGTTAGTTGAGAACAATTTAATAAGCTGTCTTCATGTATGTAAGAAGACACTACTGGCAAACCAAGAACCACTTATGTGGTAGTCTCACAGAAGTCTAGAGACTATTTTCCGAATATTCTGGAATTTTGTGCCCTGTTCATCAAGCTTCTGTGAGAAACCAACTCATAGTTTTGTTTTAAAAGCCTTCATGCTTGGGCAGTCAAAAATAGATTTAATGAACTTTGGCTATATGTAAATAGTGAAACATGAAATAGTTTCAAGATTCCAAGCTTTATTCATATACTTGGTGGTTCCATATGCTTAACTATAATTTACAAAGCCCCCCCCCCCCCCGCAACTAGGAAACCACCACCCCCAACTAGGAAAATAAGCTTAAATATTGTTCATGTTAACTAATGGGCCATTGAGCAAACCAGCCATGTAGGGTTTTTCTGAACTATAAAATTGTTGTGTCACTGTAAAAAAAGCTCAAAACCACCAAAGTTTATAAGTAAATTTCTTTTTAAAGGGATGGGGCTTCATAGTTTCTCTTTGAACCATATAGTATTTATCGGGCTGTCTTGTCACAACATGAATCCCTTTGGGGTGAAAGCAATTGTTTTGAAGGTTAAAATAAATTCATCTTGCTGTGACCTAATGCAATTTGTTGAAAGCTGGCCCTGGGAAACTTTCTGACATTTATTAGAAAGGTTTTTCACTGGGTCTTCATAATGCAGTAATGTCTTAATGGGTGAGTTGCTCACTGCCACAAACCTTTATTAATTATGGCAATTCTTATGGCTAGTTTCCATTTGCAGCAGTTCCTCTGGTAGCTTGATTTATTATCTTGAAGTGGAAATAGCTACATGTTCTACTATTTGTGCTGTAGTGCGATTGTGTGAGAGGAATAGGACATGTAGCATCCTAGTTCAGGATGTTTCCTGAATAAGCCTCAGTCATGGGAAAAAGATTTGCTGGAGCAGACAACGCTTCCTCTTTGCTGCCATTTGAGATTTGGTCTGTGTAGCAATAATCTGTTTTTTATTTTTTGCTTTGAATTTCTACCAATAACAATTCTGTTGTTAAGTTTTTCTTTTAAATATACCCCTCCTTTGATATGTAGAGGAGGAAGAGAAGCCACAACTGAATAATTTGTGAAGCAGCAGCACACCTGCTCATGTCATTGCTACCATTATCTGTCCAAGAGCATCTGCTCCAGACTGAGGAACAGACTGCTACTTCTAGACAGCTGCTCCAAGGATGACTTGATGTGTGATATCCTCTCTGGAATTAGGGGAAAGCAGAGAATAAACTGGTGCCTCTCCATTCTCCTTCAATCTCCATGATCTGGCGGGTGGTGGGAGGGAATCTGCTCCTTTGGGAATCTAATCATGTATGTAAAAGGAGGATTTAAATAGATGCATTTCTTCACCAGCAGAGTGAAGAACTTACTCAGACTACAGTACTTTGCATACCTAACTGACAGTAAGTTCCTTGAAAGTCAGTGGGAAATACTTCTGAATCAACATGCATAGAATTGGGTTGTAAGAGGTGATGTGGAAGATTGCCTTTGGCAATCAGCTTTCCCTTTGATTGTGGGAAAGTGATGTTCCAGTGCATTTGGTAAAAACAGAGATTTGCAGTTTTACACACCATCAAGACTGAGATGATTTTGGGTAGTACACGAAACTGAAGCCTCTGCTCATGTCCTTGTTAGTTCCCCTCAACTTCTTAACAGTTTTTGATACCATCCACCATGGTATCTTTCTGAAGCACCTGTGAGTTAAGGTTGGGTGGCACCACTTTGCAGTGGTTAGAGTCCTAATTGGATGGTCATTTTCCATTGCTTTGCCTCGGTAACAGACTGGATGAGAGCCAACAAACTGTAGCTCAATCCATAGAAGATGGAGGCACTGTTAGTGGGTGGTTCCCTAGACCAAATGGATGGGAAACTGCCTGCTCTTGATGGGTTTACACTCCCTCTGAAGGAGCAGGTACACACTTTGCGGGTACCTCTGGATCCACTGCTGTTGCTTGAGGCTCAAATGACCCCATGGCACTGAGTGCCTTCTATCACCTTTGACTGGTGGCCCAGCTGCGCCCCTATCTGGATAGGGATAGCTTAACTTCCGTTGTCTAAGCTCTGCTAACCTCTAGGTGAGATTACTGCAATGTCTTGATTTGGGAGATATGGTACTGAATTCTTTCACAACCAAATAATCAAAACAAATTCTCCATATATGAAACTGAAGTAACATTTTGTGGCACAGGGTTGCTGTGAGGATGGAGGGTTATCAGCTGCAATGCACACAAAATGCCATGTAAAACTTTTTACTTATGGTAATACTCAATGACCATCTGTTTTCAATTTGTTCAGGAACTGGGATGGATGAGGAACAGGACATTATACTTTCCCAGCATTAAAAGTGTTATTTTGATTTCATAATGCCACAAGATGCACTCACATGGGATTTCAAATATAGAAAGCCCTTAGAGACCATAGCCTCTTAAAAAGCTTTTATCGAATTAATCTCAACAATATTGGTTTGTATTGAGACACTAGCAGGAAAATCAGATGAACCTTTCTCTCTCTTTCCAAGCTCTCAGGTAAAAGTAACATTGCACTGATTTCCTGAAATTAAGAGAAACTACAGGATTCCCAAATAACTTCACTTCTATTTTTTACTGGGAATAAAATATTTATTTCTTCAGATACATGGGAAATTATATCTTTATAAGTAGCTGAAACTAGAAATCTTGAGTTAATAAATATTTTTAACTGCAACCTTATCACTGAAATTTGTTCATCCTCTGCTAACTATTAATAGGTTGCAGTAATAACAGAATAACAGGAGCTTTCTGCGTAGGCGCTGGGAGAGAGGTGAGTCAGTTGGACTCTGGTTGCCAGAGAACCAGGTACAAGAGAAATGTTTTGAGTGAGGTAGCATTTATCAGTTCACTTTATGAGGCAGATGGTGAAAGAGACAAATTAAGGTTATCATGTAATTTTCAGTATATTGAGCATTAGCATGCACACAAAGGGCTGAACAACGACACATTACCTTGACAACACATATATGCTAAATTAGCATTAAATAAATATGGCAATATAGCCATAATGTGCCATCGAGTTTAATGTGCCATCAAATCTAATGCGCACCTCAATCTTCAGAACCTTGAAACCAAAAAAAGGATTTGCTGGCAAATGTGAATGTGCAATCGAATCTAATGTACACCTTAATTTTCGCAATGTAATTTGGCCAAAAAAGGTGAGCATTAGATTCAGGTAAATGCAGTATTAAAATTGGTATGTGCTTCATTTACCATTTCCCCCCTAAATTGTCACAATCTAAATAATTCTGATTCATCCAGATATACACTTTTGTTTTAACCTCACATACACCCTTCTTCTGTCCTATAAAAGGATAAAAGCAATGTTCATCTAACTTTTTGAGGAAATTCCTTACATTTACTGCAGAAAAAAAGGAATAAATTTAAAGCCAAGCTATTATTTTCCTCTGTTCTTTGGCTGGCTAAGCTCTGTCTGGAATCTTTTACGGTTTCCCTCCAACCTAGCCTTCTCTTCTATTTAACCAACATAGCATTCACAGTATCACACAGCAGACAGCAAAGACGGAAGATAAAAATAGCTGTTACCTAGAATACAAAATATATACTAGCTTGCATATGTCTCTAAAATAAGTACTCAGAGGTGTGTTTTGGGCAAAATACAGAACAAAAATAGAAAGCTGGGCTTGAGTCGCAGTACAATATATGAATAAATAAATAAATATGAATTTCACAATCTAGCACTTTGTGTAACCTTTTTGCAATATGCAAATAGTGCCTTCTTGCTTTGTACAGAGTTCTAACTTATTTTGGCACTTCTACAATGTCATCATTCTTACTTTTGTATCTAAAAGCTGTTTCTGAACGATTACCTTTCTCTGTTCAGTGAAGATGCCATCATTGTTCTCTCACCCCAAAAACAATTCCAATTAACCAATAACCCTGCTACAAGCATAACATGACAGTGATACAAGAACAAGTATTGATTAAAACAAAAAAGCCATTTTTAAAAACAGCATTAATTCTTACCAACTCCAGTGGTTATTGATTCTGTGTCAATGTCGTTAGCTTTTCTCTTTGCCACTTCAGCTAGTGCCAATTCACCCTTATCTAGGGCAAAGTAATGGATGTCCTTTAGAAATAAAGCAAAATAAAAGATTAATCTAAAATGAATCTTGGACAAGTAACAAAGGAGAATTTGAAAGGAAAAAAGGCTTCTTTATTGCTTAGATCAGAAATGCAGATGGAAGTGATGAGACTATATTTATAATTTTCTCTGTGTTACTCTTTTGAAATGCAGGTTTATTATCCCATTCATGCTCTATCCTCACAGTTAATAATGAATAAGGTGTTAACCATTAACCAGAAAGAATAGAGCTCTCAGCCCTGCAGTATAAGCAAACCTTTAATAGGCACTTTAGGTTCTGATTTCATATGGCAGAGCAAAGCGAAAGCTTGGCAGATCTCTGGTTAGAGGGATGATTGAAACCAAACTGCCAAGTGGCTGAATATAATACAGCACTTCATGGGACGCCCTTCCCCAACCATCTCCAGACTTCATTTGCCTTCTGTTCTAGTTCCTTATTCACATACTGTTGTCCTTATATTATCTCTGAGTGTCTCCATTCTGGGTTTTGCCTTCTCCACTCTGAAAATGGGAGGAAGCAGTAGTCACTTTTTGGGCTAAATAAATATTAGGAACCTTGGTGGGCCAAATTTCACAGGTGGCTGGTGCTGCCCACCTGTCAGTCACCTGATGCCACTAGGACGTCAGGTGATGCTGATCTTACCTTCGAAGCCCCAATCATTTTAGGAGTTTCAGTGTGGAGTTGTTTGAAAAAGGGTTTTCAAACAGCCCCTTGCAGCTCTTTTGAAGCAGGGTGGGGGCCAGGTTTCTGTGGGCCCTTCTGGCTGTTGCTGCTTTTTCTTGCCAACAATTGCTTAAAAATTATGGGTCCTTTAAATCCTAGAGTATGTGTGTGGGAAAGAGCACACATGCAGCTGCTATAGCGCTGTACTGTCTTCCTCTGGTAAGAATGGCAGGAGGCAAAAAAACGGAGGGAAGGGCGATTGCAGAAGCCTGGCTAAGCAGCTGACCACAGAGAGTATAAGGAACCTAAGAATTGGAACAAGGGCTGTCAAAATATGTGTGCTTTGAATAGCATAGTCCACCATATTACCAACCCACTTTTTACTGGTTTACTGCTGGAATTATTGTTGAATGCTCTGCTGCTGCATTGTACTAGGCATTCATTGACTGCTGTTTTTTCAGGCCTACATGTAAGAGATAGTGCAAACAATTCAGGACCAGTATGGAACTACTATTGGCAGGCAGAAAGTTGGCATTAGCAAAGCTTCCGGAACAATTCACCCTTGGTTCAACACAATAAGATAGCCCCACAATTATTGTTAGTGGTTGTAGCAATGAGCTCATATATATTATATTCCCTTGCTTTGATAGATACTAATTGGCTTGCTTTGGTATTACCCTTATCTGTGGGCCTGGGGTGTTGGGCTCTCAGACCAGAAAGGGAAACTATCTGTCAGGTTTGGGTATTTGCCACCTATGCCCTTATCTGGGCAGGTGGAGCAATGGGACATCCTAGGCATTGTGACTTATGCTGTTTTGTGTATAAAGAATGTATTTGCTTGGGCGGGGACACACCACATCCTTGTTGTGGTGTCCATTCTGCATCTCTGCAAGAGAAGGCTAGGAAACCTGGCAGGCCTATTTGCTGTGAGCCTATTGTTGTTGTTGTTTAGTCATTTAGTCGTGTCCGCCTCTTCGTGACCCCCTGGACCAGAGCACGCCAGGCACTCCTGTCTTCCACTGCCTCCTGCAGTTGGGTCAAACTCATGCTGGTAGCTTCAAGAACACTATCCAACCTTTCTTTATAAAGCACTAGAACTGATCACTCTGGCATCTTTACCATCCTTCTTTGGTATTCCTGCACCCAACAACTCCCAGAGTTGTCCTCTGCTGGGACTGTGGTTCAGAACAAATGATCTTTTCCCTAGTAGCTTCAGTACAAGGGGCTAGCAGTAGTAGTTCTGGAAACTGCCCTGTTTAGGGGAACACAGTTTGTTCATCGTTGCATAACTTCACTGCCCTGTTCCTTTTGCTAATCTGTCCTTGTTTAAGGCAGGGGTAGCCAGTGTGATGCCCCGTGAAGGCTGGGGCTGATGTGTGTTGCAACCCACAACATCTGGAGGGTGTCACATTAGCTATTCCTCAAATATGGCAACTGCTAATTCCCTTCTTGGTCTGGGAATAAAGTAAAGAGAAACAGCAGGTATTTACTTCTCAATGAAAAGCACACATTGCTGACGGGAGTGTGGTGCTTGGAGCCTGTTTTAAAGAACCTTTTAACAGATGCAAATGTACCCAAATTCTAAATGATGTTAAGGACATGCTGCATGGAAATATGTGTTTTTTCCTAGTGGTCTTTGACCTAGTGCCTTGCTTCTTGGCTTCCCATTATTTTATGTGTGATAGACAAACAAATGAAGCCAGTGGGGGGGGGGGAGGAGACACACAGAGAGAAAAATCCTGTCAGAATACATTACCAAGTCAAGTTATCTGAATTATATTTTATGTCATGGCTGTGTGTATTGTTAAAAAAAGAGAGGAAATATTCCTTTGCTTCCAATGTGTTATCTGCGAAGCCTCAATCAGTGGATTTGTTCCAGGTGGCAGGTAGTCTGGTTAATCCAGACTGTCTTCACTTGGCTGCTGATGCAAGTCCCTCCTGCTGTGAGAAAATTTCTGGTTTCTTTGCAGATAAAATCTATGAGATTTTGATTAAAATGTGTGTCTAGGCAAGGAAAGCAATGTCTAAAGGGAGAAATATTAGGGACTCATCTCTCAGATTGCCAGTCAGTATCCATTAAGTTGTGTTGCAGTGTGTGCTTTTGGACCTCCGTCTTGCCTTGCTTGAAATTATTTTGGGAGCAACATAGGCTTTTTTATCGATAAACTTTTCTGTTGCAGAAAGAGATGGTTCTTCTTTCTTTAGAAGGAAGCATGTGCTTCATTATAGTGCAAAGAGGCAGGTCCTTTTCTTGATGCTTAACCATGTCTACTCAAAAGGAAGTTCTGTTGAAGTCAGTGGTGCTTACTCCTAGGTAAGTGGGGGTTAGGATTGCAGCCTAAGTTTAGCAAACTACAGCTTAATAAATAATTGACAATTTGAAAAAGCAAACCAATTATACATGAGACAATGCAATTCTCTATGTGCCTTTACAACATTGTTTCTTTCCATAATTAGTAAAAACTATTTTCAAATTAGGGACGCGGGTGGCGCTGTGGGTAAAAGCCTCAGCGCCTAGGGCTTGCCGATTGAAAGGTTGGCGGTTCAAATCCCCGCAGCGGGGTGCGCTCCTGTTGCTTGGTCCCAGCGCCTGCCAACCTAGCAGTTCGAAAGCACGTCAAAGTGCAAGCAGATAAATAGGGACCGCTTACTGGCAGGAAGGTAAACGGCGTTTCCGTGTGCTGCGCTGGCTTGCCAGATGCAGCTTTGTCACACTGGCCACGTGACCCGGAAGTGTCTCCGGACAGCGCTGGCCCCCGGCCTCTTAAGTGAGATGGGCACACAACCCTAGAGTCTGTCAAGACTGGCCCGTATGGGCAGGGGTACCTTTACCTTTACCTTTATTTTAAAATTAATGCCCCTAGTCTTGGTTTTATGTTTACTTGCAAAAAAAACCCACAGTCAAAAAGGAATAGAAATGTATTCTCTCTCTGCAAAGAACCCAACTATTCAAGAGACAGACCTGCTACAGTCTATATAATACTATATCATGATTTCAACTAAATGGGAAGGAGTATTGCCTAAGTCTTGCATATTTATTCTTTGGAATGGAAGCACTGGAACAAGAGAAGCACATCTGAAAAATGGGAAAGCAAAGCAAAAGGAGGATAGATCCAAATTATTCTCTGGGTGCAGCTATACATCTGCAGCACAGTATACACAGAGTCTAGTTCTGATCTTCTTCATGCTTTCTGTATGCTCTAGTCTGAAAAGACTGCATGGTGACTGCATGCTTACTGACACTGGGATTAGGGAAGAACGGTGTATTAGGAGGGTGTTCCAAAGACAAGATTCAGTTGGAATTCTACTTTGGAAAGTGGATCAGATCAGTTTGAGGCACTTCAAGAACACCTGTTTTAGGCACAGGTCTGAATCAGAACCTCTTTTTGGAAAGTCTGAAACTTCCAACTTTTACAATTGACTATAGTGGGGAAATCAACAAACATGTAACTTTTTAATCTTTTGATATAATTGAATGAAACATGCAGGAATATCAAACCTTGCTGAGTGGGTGTAGCCTACAAAATTTCAGCAAATGGGTTTTGTGCAAGTTGTCTTTAAATTCTGAGGGGTGGGGAAATTTGAGCAGAAATGAACTTTCTACAATGTTTTTTGTTTGGGGGCAGAACTGGATGACCTTAGTAGTTGCTTCTTATTAGGGAATGAAGACTACTGTATTTCACATAGGTAGATTAGATGTGTGGGTGGAGTTGTTGGGAGTCTAATGTTTGGGAAATAGGATTGCTTGTCCCACCCACCCACCCCTCTTTTTTGGGGGGGGACTTGTTAGAAAATTGCACTTATCACAGATTAAAAAATGCACAAACTGAACATTATAAAGCAGCTTTCTTTTCAAGTTTTCCTCCATTTGAGTTACTAGCAAGTTGTAACTGAAGCAGTCTGAACAATTTTTAATAATTTCAACAAGCAAGACTTTACAGTGCACAGGAAATGTTCATAAAAATTTATAAGTATCTGTGTAGTATTTTTGCTGCTAATTATAGCAGCTAATCTCCACTCAAGCATACACAGTCATAATTGGAATAAACTTGTAAAACTTGTTTTTATCCACCTAGGAAGTTACAAATCTGTAACAACGGAAAAATAAAGGGATAGTACCCTCCCTGAGTAATTGCTATGTAAATGTTGCCTATACATAGGAAGAAATGCAAACACATACAGGATTAGGGCATACAAAAAAACTTAAGGGCTAAGGAACGTGGGCTGAACATGAAGGCATGCAACTTCACAGAACTTTAGTAGTCTGAATATGCATAGTTCTCCTGAAATGAAAAGCAGGTGTGGTTTTAGAAGAATGTAT